GAAAATCTATCTATGTGGTCACTAGGAGTTGAAAATGACTTGATGGCACATAATCAATCAAATCACTCTTATTTATGGTACATTTATCATTGGTTGCTGTAAAACTAACTTCAAAGAATAGGCTGAAGCCAGCAGTCATAACATGCAATATCCTTTGAAATGCATCAAAGGAAAATAACAGAAAAAGTCACAAAATGGATTCTCCCTCTGTCCCCTAAGCATACATGTAATATGGAATGGTAAAATTGTTTTCTCAAAATTAAAACTTGATTCAGGTTTGTTGTCTGTTTTAAATAGACTATGAGATATAATCTCTTGTTAGTGGGACATGGTGGGACCTACTAGATCAATGACTGACCTCTGCTACGTATAATTGACCATTTACCGACAATTACTATAAAGGCATAATGAGATCAGAGCATCCTCATCTTTCCTTGCTTACTGAAAGAGTGAATAGACTCCTAAGTCTATAATTACTCATTTTCTATGTAGACATTGTAGGAGGGAAGCCATATCTTACATAGTGTTACCTGACTGATTTTCTGCATTCTCTATAGCTTCCATTTTCTTAGCTCTTCCTGGAATTTCCTTACCTTATAAACTGTTGGCAATCCTGTTCTTATTCACTTAGGTTCTCATTTCCTGAGCCTCTTATCCTCTCAGCCTACAGCCATCGGTGAAGCCCCTGTTTTTCCTCTTCTCCTTTACCATAATCTAATATTTCTCTAGCCTTTCCTTTCTCAGTGTCCTGCTTGTTCTCCAGGTGCATTATAATAGTCTCTTGCTAAGGGGCTGATCTCATCCTTCTCTCCTACCTTATTATTCCATCTGGCCCTTAAGAAACTGATTAGGTTCTGCAGTCAGCAATTATCTCTGCTTATGCTATTAACTCTTGCTGCACGGTTTCAGGGCTGTTTACGTTGACTGGCCTCACAGCTATCTAGTTCTTCCGAACAAAGTATCTATTAGGTTATTTTTAGCCACACAAAGTGAATAGTTTAATGACACCACACCTCCTCCAGGTAGAGAGTATTCATTACAAGGGGATTCATCCTGGGGTCTTTTGTAATGTTTCAAAAGGGTGACAATAGCATCGTGTCCTGAAAAATAGCAATTGTCATTATAAGCAAACAAGAACAGAAGTACCACATTGCCAACAAAGAATCTGAGAAGGGATGGCTGTTTCAAAAGTACATCATGAAATATCAAACAGCATTGCTGTTGAATAAAATGTTATCTTAGAATTTAAAGGTACCACGAAACTTCTTGCATTCTTGGATACATTATATGGCAATAATATACCTCATCACAGTCACACTGGGAGAAACTCTGGGAGGAAACACACACACACACACACACACATACACACACACTTGTGCCCTTGTTCAAAGCCAGGTTTAATCTCTTCTCATAATGTAAGGCATCATTTGCTCTGTTTTTAAATAATAAACATGAATAAATAATGCTCTTGGTTTTAATCTGAGTTGGTAATTCTTTTAGGATGTTTTGATTAGGAGAATTTTTAAAAACAATATTTTCTTTTTTTAAAAAAATACAATATTTTGAATGTTTTAAATATTTTACTTTTGTTTAACTTGGCTGAATGCTGCTCAGAGAATATGTAAATGTAATAAATCAGTCAACTGATAAAGCAATTGGCAGTTCATAAAAAAAGAGGCTATTTCTAATGTACCAGTATATTTATTCAGCTAAATAATTCTGGGTTGAAATACACTCATAAGTATCCTGGAATTTACTCCAAATGACATGAGATTACAATCTGGAATTTATATCCTCTAAAAATTTCACTGTCAAGAATGGCTGTTGACTTCAGAATGAACAGAAGCTTATGTGAATTTGGGCACATTTTAATGTCAAAATATATTTTGGCTCAGGAACGGATAGGCATAAAGGAAATAGCTTCCAGAATTCAACTATTTTCTAGCTAAGTTTGGAGGACAAAGAGAAGTAGAGCTGAGGTGTTACCAGGCCAGACCTGCAAAATATGTAATAGGCAGCTTTTTTGCAGCATTTTTGCAGGAAATCAAGGATAGCTATCTGTCTTTAAAGGAGGTTTCTGCTCCTGCCCTTTGCAGGAGAACCGAAGTTTCCTTCCACATAAAATCAATAGTAGTCCTTGACTTCGTAATGAACTCCATGGATAACCGCATTGTAATGCTGTCTGTGATACCTTGTTCAGTGATAACAGAGAAAAAAAGACTTTTAAAAAGCCTTGTCTATACTTTACAGACAGATATTGCCTTTTCTGAACTCAGGGATGCAATTATGGATTTTTGGATTTTTATTTTATAGGTGTTGAGAAAGGTCAAGATTGAATTGGTGTGGAATTCAAGCTTTGGCTACCGTGTTAGCATTTCTGAGAGCATAAATCCAATACTTGGTCTTCTGCATTCTCTTAGTGTCAGGAGCAGATGCATATGGACAGCCATTTTCAGTAGACTGTAAGTTGTTCTGCTCTTCTGATTTGTAAAGCTTTCTTTTTAATACATAAAGCGGAGTACCCAAATAATATTACCTTTTTCATAGGCCCACATCAAACAGGTTTGTTCATCTTTCTCACCACTGGACCTGCTGGAGTCAGAGGCTACTAGATTCATATCGGCTCCATTGTCCAGTAGAAATTGGACAAGACGGATATGGCCGTGGTAGCAAGCAGAATGTAACCCTGGAAGAGGAGGAGGAGGAGGAAACAAGCATTGTTATAAGCAAGATTTTCATAACAGTATAAAGGGCTATGGAATAATAAAATGGATTTAAAGGGCTTAAGAAAGAAGGGGAGACTTGTTTTGGGTGAGCTTGATTCCTGTTGATTGTATGGATAGGTCTCTGCAGTTTTCTTGACATTTCCTTCTACCAAAATGTCTTTTTAACTTCCCAGCCTACACTACTGCCCTGGAGAAGGTAGGGTTACTCCACGATGGAGAGAGAGTTGTTTAACTCCACTTTAATATGAACATATTAAAAAATTCCTCAAATTGAGGAATTCATACTTCCTCAACTTGAATATACTTCATATCCTGCATATTTCTGATATTTTCTCTATTTATAAAAAATTAAAAATGCATGTGGTATATACATCCAGTCAGGGGCATCTGTGGAGTGTGGGCAAAAAAGTCAGGATGGTGGACACAACTGCATGATTGAAGCCCCATCTCTTTTTACATGCATCGTGACACATGGAAGACAAAGAACAGGGCTTTGATTGCTAGGCTGCACCACAATCTTTACTTTTTAGAGCCTCACTGTAGATTACCTTGCTCTCAGCTGTGCTAGGTGTCTAACACATGTTTATCCAGAATAAAAATCAGTTTAACCATTAAAAACATTAAAAAGTATGCAACATTGGAATATTCAAAAGTTTTTTAGTAATAAGATATATTTTAAGCCCACTTGTAAATTGGAATAAGGAAGTAAACTGCAAGTCTCATCTCCAATTTCACTGTGTTCACTAAGGCTATCACATACACACATACACAGACAAATAGAGTTAACTACTGATATCAAAAGTATCTGTGGCAGAACCAGCAACAGGAGGCCCACTGATGATCTTTACACAGAGATAATGCAGCACTTCCTGAAAGCACCAGCCACCACCATTTCAGATCATCTTAGAATTGTGCTTAGGTGATTGTGCTCCTACTTGGATTGCCATTTCAACAACGTTGTGCTGGGGGATTACTGTTCTGCCTCATGGTGGCTGGGTTATAGAATCCATCAGGGTTCCATTTTATCCCATATGCTTTTTAACGTATTCATGAAACTGTTGGAAGAGGTCAACTGAGATGTGGGCTGAGGTGCCATCAACATGCAGATGATACCCAGCTTTGGCTGTTCTTTTAATCTAATGCAGGTGAAGCGGTTGGCATTCTGAAGCTTGGGCAGGGGAATGGACTGGAGGCAAGGCTGATAAGAAATTCCTCCTTGCCACTCATTTAATGTTTGGCTCTTTAGCACCAATACCAAATCCAAGCTATGAACTTGATACCTAAGGGCAACTGTGACAAAATCTGCCAAATCCTGCAATTCAGCCTAGAAGCGGAAACAATTTTGTCTTGTTCATATTCAGCTGCAGCTTGCTTTCCTTTGCCTTATCTCTTACAGCTCAGTTGCAGAGTGGGCTTTCGCAGTGTTCATCCCTGAGCTCACAGGAAAGAAATCCATCAATATAATGGAGAAAATTAGCTTTTCCCCCCTCCACGAGTTTTTCTAGTGATTTCATATGTTGGTTAAATAACATGGGAGAGAAATCTACTAATCCTTGTTACCCATTTTTCTCTCCCTAGTCCTTGCACAAACACAACACAGTCTGATCCTTAGCAACCTACCTGTATGTCCATCTCTACCCTGATGATTGAGACTCATTATATTCTGATCAAGAAGAAATTTCACCAGTTCTATGTTCTTGCCATAGGTACATGCACTGAAAGAATTAGGAGTTTTTTGAAAACAAAAATAAATCAGTTATTGAAAATACTTAGTCAATAAAGTATAAGAAATAACTACCTAAGATTTAGATGTATAGAGAAATCTTGTGTGTGTGTGTGTATGCCTCTTCCTATATGGTGATTCACAACATTTACATTAAGCAAGTCCACCCTTACTTCCAAATGCCTCTGCTGAGCCATATATGTGAAAACACTGCATATATGAATGAAAGAAAGCACCTCTTTGAAGAAAGAACTACCTTCTGATTTTTACAGTTTTACCCAGATTTTATTATTTATGTTGCAATTATGTTTCAATATAAGCCAGTGAGCTCTAAAAAAAAAAAAAAAGGGTAAGGATATAAGGTTTTTAAAAATACAAATACATTCAGAACTTCTGCATATACTGTTGATGCAATTCTAATGCAGTGAAGTCCTGTTGCTCAAGTTAAAGTTTTTAGCAGGTAGGAGGAAACATGTTACTTGCTTTGCACAAATTACTTCCGGTTTTATCTTTAAGTTTTGGGTGTTGTATTTGTATCATTTCTTTGCTTTATAGCTCTGGCCATCGAGATGTTTTCCTCACTAATGATACTTAGTACAAATTTGCCTTGTCCTGAGACTCATCAGATGTATTTTGTAGCTGCAGAATGGTTTGTAGCATGGAAAACAGTAATATAAGTGCATAAATCAAGGCCTGGGAATGACAAGGTGAGCATCACAGGAAAAGGAGATAAAATTAGGGTCACCAGGCTTTTCCAGTAACGTTTCCAGTAACAAGTAAAGCCTGTCAATGACAGAATAATCCAGTAACTTTTTTGACTTGGGGTAAGGGAAAACTCAAACATAAAACAGAGTACCTATGAAAGGCAGTTTCACTAAATATATTTTCCTTAGTGAGACTTTCTGTTCCCGAAAGCTGAATTAACTCCTTTACAACTTCAAATTTTCCATTGTAGCAAGCCCTGGGGAGAAAAATATCAACACACTGCTTTTAGTAAGGAAAACTGGAAATCAGTGCAGGCTGAAGGAAAAAAAGGCCCTGGATTGCTTGTTACTCACAAGTGTAGTGGTGTGTCTCCATAAATGTTAACCACATGGGACTGGACTTCAAAATTACTTTGGAGCAAGAATCTGACAATTTCATGATGTCCAAATCGAGAGCAGAAGTGGAGAGGAACATGATCTTCGTTGTCCTGAGCATTCACTGCCATTAAATCAAGGAAGGAAAAAAATAAGTAGCTATAATTAAATCAAGCTTTCTCATGGATCATGGATGTGAGGTATAGATTATGAAATCCTCATCAGAAATGCAGAGAATCTGATGAACTCAAGTGGCCTTCTACACAATTTGATCTCATAAGACAGGAACATACATCCACTGTTTCCTCAGAGATTTTTGGTCAATCCAGATGAAAGCTTACCCAAAGATCAGAAAATAAAAGAGCATAGTTTTTTACACTGTCCCAGACCAGTAAACTAACCACAAGCTCCAAGGGAAAGCAAACACATACTTGTCCAAATCAAAATCATGAGCAATCTGTGCATTTGAATGAAGGAATTTTAAATCAAGACATTTGATTTAGAAAACATTAAGCAAAACTAATTTATTATGGGGAGAGAGTTCCCTTTTTGGCTAAAAAGGAAATATTATCTGACCCAAAGCCATGATAGGAAGTCCTCTCTCTGGCTGCTGATCCAGAAGAAAATCTTCAACCCAACTGAGCTGCAACTGAGGCACCAAACAGAAATCTGAAGCTGTCTTTCAGAGATTCATCCATCTGAACTTGAACTTAATGAAGTTGTTTGGAACTTCAGCGGACTGCACCCCCTTTCTATTTTTCCAGTTTGTTTCCTATTAGTAGGAATAATTTATCCTCACTGAATGTCCATAGCAGTGTTTCTCAACCTTCTCAGCTTGAAGATGTGTGGACTTCAATTCCCAGAAGAAGTGGGCATTGAAATCCACACATCCTCAAGCTCCCAAGGTTGAGAAACACTAGTCCATAGTGATATTTCATGGGATGTAAAGGGCTCTGTGGCAGTTTCTAACTGAGCTCATACCCCTGGTTTATGTCCATTAATTCTTGAGTAATTCTGAAATATAAAGTAGAAGAGAAGCAATGCTCTGTTCCCAGGCCTAGGCTTAACTGTGATTGTTACGTATTGGTGGGGCCCCTGTTGTATTTTTGTACTGTTTATGGTTGTAGCTGTTTTAGTCCAGGCTGCCTGTTTATGTGGGTTTTGCATTTTTTTTTTTTTTTTTGTAAGCCACCCAGAGTCTTCTGGAGTGGGTGGCCAAATCTAATACATTAAATGAAAGAAAATAAAAACCAACAAAAGTTATCCTACACTAGTCCTTAAGGAGAATAGTCTCTTCCAACTTGTCCTGCAACTGATCCTGTTTATTGTTCTCCATATGGGGATGATGATTCTGACCTGCATGGACAGTGGGGAAAGAGATTAAATTCTTCCAAACAGCACCTTGCTCTCTCATCTACATTGGTAAAGGAGTATTCACTGCTTAATCTGTTATAAAACAAAATAAAAATCATAGATTGGGGACCCAGTTATAAGATCTAGCTTAGCTGCAAGCCCAACACGGAAGTGTCCATAGGGTGTGGTCACAAAAGTCAAGATGGCAGACACAATGGTGTGATCAACGATCCACATGTATTTTTGTGTGTTGCATGTATGTAAGCATTAAAAACAGGTAGAACTTCAATCACAATGTTGTGGGCACCATCTTGATTTTTTTTTTTACTGTACACTGCAGACACCCTGCCTATCCTGTTCACTGTTATAACACACTGTTTCTCAAATACTATGAGTGGCTGACAAGAGTTTTGCACCCCACAGCTGATCTTTTATGCTTTTTTCATGTAATTGCGTAGTCTGTACTGTAATCAACTCTTGCTGCAGTTATATTTGCTGAGTATTATTGTGGGGTTTTCAGTCAATGAAAATAAAAAAGCATTACTGAGTTAATGACCTTTTCACAGGAATCCTGCTACCTTACATATTAACTATGCAGAGCGAAATTATGATCCAAAAGGCAGGTGTTAAAGGAAACAAGCACCCAGGTTATTACAAAATGAATGAGAAACCAAAGCTATTCAGTGTAAGGAAACAATGTTCTGTGGCCTGGAGAATTCATACTTTATTTAAAATACATTAATGCTCATACTGAGTATCAGCAATAATTGAGACCTATGTCAAAGACTTATTCAAATCAGGGAAGGTAAATGTAAACACGTGTATGGACATAAGTATATAGGAATAAGAGCTGAAATAAAGTTACTTCTAAAAATGTTCTGTAGAGAAATTGAAAATAAATCTTTTTCTAGGCTGATTATTTGCATATAAATGACATTGATTAATTGACATTGACATTCATGATTAATCTGAAGCTGATGGTATTCATCATTTACTCTTCCCCCACCACACACATTATAAGTGCAAAATAAGTGTATTTATTTGGCCTTTGCCTACCAAAGGGAGAATTCTTTTCTATCCTTTTTGATCTATAATACCAAACAAAATAGCCTTCCTAATAATACTGATTTTGGCATACATACATATTTCTTTTATCTGTCTTCCATGCAGATTTGAACTCTGTTTACTGAGTTCTTGTATGTTTTCAGCACTTTTTAGAACCAGGACACTATCTTTACTCTGAGCTTGTATGACCTCAGAAACAGCACTGCTGTTCCTGTTTACTTATGTGTTAAACTGCTGCATTTTAAAACTGGCTTCAGTAGTTACTTTGCCTACTCTATTCCCTAGAAAAGTAATGAGATGGAATCAGGAGAGTAAAAATGGGAGAATCTCAGAAATTTCCATCACTCCAGATGCCTCTGGAATTTCTAAATTCAAAGTTTGTTCCAGCTGACATCCAAGTAGAATTTCACAATTTCCATCAAGAGCTATCATTGGTATACTTCATAAGAAACACTGGATTAATCTCCTAGGGGAATTTGATCTAGTGAAGTATTTATAAAGAATATCCAGGAAACAGCATGCTTTTTATTTTTTGACAGAAATTCTCCAATTCCTGGCTTGCAGTGATGAGTTTTTCATTTCTCATAAATGCAATAACCCACTTGAAATTGATGTACAGAGGTCAGGAATGCTTCTGAAAGACATTATTTCTGCTAAACAGTACTGCTTAAAACACACATTTCATTTCCAATCAATATCTTGCATCTCTCCCCCACTCCAATTTTTTTTGGACATTGAAGTCAGTTCAGTGAAAGTTTATCAGATTTCAAAAGCTTGTAATTAAGTAGGCTGGACTTTTTCAGAATTGTAACAATGAATCCAAACACAGTTTGGAAAAAGAGCTGCTTTTGTTTTTTTGTATTACATTGGTATGGAAAATATATTGGCATGGAATCCAGTAATCTTGCCAAAAATAAAATGGATGCATTACTTATTAGCAGTACTAAGAGTTCATAAAATTACACAATAGTTTCTTCACATACTCCTTTACTTATATAGTAGAATAAATTTTAAAAATGTTTTAGAAAGCATTTTAAATAAGAACATTGAAATAATTCTCATAAAAACAGTTCTCTTAGATAACACAAGTACAGAATGTGAAAGGAACAAGAATAATAAAACTGAATTTAGTTAAAATATTTCTTAAAAATGACGATCCATACAAAATATTCAGTTCAAATAATAAGGTTTAAAAAGAAGTGGTAAGAAAGCAGCAATCACCATAAAAAAACATCTGTGCTGTTCATCTGGCAATAAGTGTACATCAAAGGATTTGGAGTTTCGCCCATGGTCCTTTGCTGGATTCTTGCCGTAGTTCAGCTGGCAGTCAAAATCCCAGGTGCAGTTTTGAAAACCTTCCATCTCTGACATATTCGCTTATATGAAAAAATGGAGCAGATGAAGAAAAATATGTAACTCATAACAGATCCCTATTTTAACAGAATATTCTAGATAAAATGCCTAGTGCAAATGTCATCAGGAAGAAAGCAAGCAAGGGATATGAGACATGATGCATATCATATTCTCACCTTGCATGCTATCTGGTTGCTGGAAGTAACTGAGGTCCATAATATGAATGTGAAAATGCAAAAATATAGGCCAGGCCTTATACAGCTATGGGAAAATAAAGGGATGTATTAAAGCCTGGAGAGGAGCCCATTTGTAGAAAAAGATTTGGTGAAAAATATAGCAATGATTTACTAGGGCTATGAGATCTGGGCTACAAAACTCTTGATAACCACTAGAAAAGAGATACAGAACACTCTTAACTCTTTGCTGGTGTCTAGTGTTGGTCTGAATTTTTCAATGCAGCTCTAGCAGTCCTAGACTTACAGTATATTACCTAATTTCAGACTGTGACAGGAAGCTGTGAACATCTCTGGCTAAAATTCTGTCGATTGTCACTTTGTGTCATCACTATATTTGAAAGAGGTAATTAAGAGATGCATAACCAGCATGCTACTTAGATTGATTAAGTATTGAAAATATTCAGCAACAAACTACCTTGTCACTGTACAATGGCTAGCAGTTTCAGGACTTCCTTTGTGCTTGGCTACACTTAGTGATTGTGTGTGTAGGAGTCAACTGAAGTCTATAGTTACAAGACTGAAGCAAGAAAGGTGAACAAAACCTATCACCCAAGGAGAGAGAGGATTCCTATCAATAGTATTATCCACTCCCGCTGTATGATTTTGGATTTCTCACTGCACATGTAACTTTTTTTACCAACCTGGGGTTTTGGTGAAAAGATCACAAGTGGTATGTTAGAGCTTCATGCAACTGGAAGAGGCCATTTAGGTCACTGAGTCCAAGACATGTTCCACACTGCAGAGTGACTTTTCTCTTTGTCTTCTTGCCAGAAGAGGCATATCTCCTCTGTTCTTTAGGGACCCACCTTCTTGTTCAACAATGTTTCTTTTTCTTCCCCTGTTTCTTAAGTAAGGGCCTTAGAGTAGTTTCTGAGTCACAGTAGTACTTCAGTTCTACACACTTTTTTGGGTGTCATTCTTGTCTACTGGTATGTGCCTTAAATTCACTTCCCTATGATTTCCTTCCCATAAGCCCATACTTATTTGGTTTAATCAACCTTTCTTTTCTCTTAGGAGCTGAAGTGTGGCTATTTGTTGCTCTAATCATTTTATATTTTCTTCAAACATCAGTGGAATCTTGCAGTTGTTGCCAATATATGCCAGACTGTTTTCAGGC